CTGATGATTTTCTGATCTTAAGTCTGTGAGTTTGTTTTGGCTCCCTATCATCTCTGTGGCTTCTTGCTTATTTATTATTTTGTTTTGTACCCAGTATCTCTGTGTTCTTGACATCATATCTGAAACATTTGTGAAAACAAGTTGAAGCCTAGGATGTTGGTTTCTTCTCTAGTAAATAGAGAAGTTTATGTTTTCTTTTGCCACATGTCTGCACATACTACCAACTCAAGAATGGCTTAAATTATGATCAAGAATAAATATTTCATGGACAACACAGGTGACAGAAAACTGGTATGTAAGTCAATGAAGTACAAGTTAACTGGTTCATCATTATCTTGAGTATGAAGCCCTTTGGGGACCTAGTTAAAGTGGGAATGGTTTATATGTACTTTTACTCCCTTGGTGATCCCACAAAATCATTTTAAATACTGTCAATATGTTTATGACTCACAAATTTATATCTTTAAAACAGACCTCTTCCTTGGATTTCAGATTCATATCCAACTTCCTACTTATCATCCCACTTTGGATATCTAATAGGCACCTCAAACTAAATATGTACAAAACAGGCCCTTGAGTGTTTCCTCAAATAAATAAGTTGTACCTTGAGCCTTTCACATTTCATTAGTTGTCACCATCATTCTCCTAGTTGTTCAAAACAAAAACTAATAACCTTCTTTGACTCCTCTCTCCACATTCTCCCCATACTCAATCTAACGGCAAGCTCTATATGTTTATCTTCACATTTTGGTCAACATCCTTCCATTTCTTTTGATTTTTACCACCACAATCCTGGTCTAAACAACTGTCTTCTTTTACCTCGATGACTGAAACTAGTCTTTCTGCCTCAATTCTTGCCTATGGAAACTGTGTTACACAACTTCATTTAAGTGGTATTCCTTGGAGTTTGGACATGTGAAATATCTGCTTTTGCCTCAGCACATCTATCATATGCTAGTTCATTTAACATATGAACTAGCATATGATAGCACATGAACTATATATTTAACATATACATTACATATATATGTTATATATGTTATATATGTTGTGTGTGTGTGTATCTATGACATACCAGGCACTGTTGAAATTTATGGGGACATATCATTGAACAATACCTTCAAATTTTGTGCTCTTAATTAGTTTACCTTATTATGGGGAAGATAAAAAACAAACATAATATTTCAGGTATTAGAAAGTTCATGAAAAAAGAGTGGTGGGAGATATATGTATACACATTGTTCAGGGAAAGCCTCATTGATAAAATGAAATTTGAGCAGCAACCTGAAGGAAGTGAGAGAACTAACATTAGGTTATGAGAGGAAGGAATTCTAAGCAGAGAACAGAAAGTACAAAGGCTTAGAGATAGCTCCATACTTGTTTGTTTTGAGGAAGAACAATGAGGTCAATGTAGTTGGAGTAGAATGAGTGAGAAACACTGGTAGAAGATGAGGACAAAGAGGTTTCATGTGGTCACATCTCATAGAAACTTGAAGGCCATCATGAGGGCTTTGGAATTTATTCAGGGTGAGATGGAAATGCACTGGGGAAGAACAACAATCACAATTAAAATTTGAAAAATTAGCTGTTATATTGGAAAAAGACTGTATGAAGGCAAGGCTAGAAGATGGAAGGCCAGTTAAGAGGCTATTACAATAATTTGGATAAGTGTTGGTTATAGTTTAGATCAGATAGTAACCACTGAGGTGGAAAGAAATAGCTGGATTTTGTGTGTGTTTGTTCATGTGTGTGTGTGTGTTTATAGAGTTGATTTTATTATTTTTAATAGATTTTTATCATAGAAGCAGTGCACATGCATTGTAAGAAATTTGAAAATATAGACACATACCTTTTTAAAATTAAAAACATTACTTTTAATCTAGAGTGGCAATTTATTATGTTTTCTCTTGTTTTGTTACCTGTTTTTTCCCAGTCAACAATCTCTAACTTTCCATTTCAGCACATTTTTATCTTATGCAGTACTTAGTTCCTAATAAAATTCTGGTTATTTTTTTGAAGTTACAGCCAACAGGGTTCTTCAATGGATTAGATGTGGTTTTGAGAAAAAAAGGAATAATTAAGAATAACTTCAAGTTCTGGAGTTTGAGTAGCTAAAAGGAAGGAATGGTCATTGACTGACTTTAAGAAGCCTGGGCAAACAGGTTTTAGGAAAGGGTATAAATTAAGAGCCTAATTTTGCACATTAAGATATAAACTTGATATTTGAATCTCAAGATAAAGAGAAAGATGTAAGATGGAGATAAACAACAGGAAATTGTCATATAACATAATACCTAAAACCATAAGTATAGATAGATCATCACAAGAGTGGGTATAAACAGAAAGAGGATAGTTTGGAGAACTAAGATCCAGAGAATTCTAACAATTAAAGGTTAAGGAGATGAAGAACCAGCAAAATTGACAGAGAAAGATTGGCTGTGAGTTTAGCAGAAAAATAAAAGTGGTGTCAGAGAGACAAAGTGAGAACATATATAAAAAGTGGAGTAATTGACTATCAAACACTAATGATAGTTCAACTAAGATGAGGACTGAGAATTAGTCAAAATCAATAATGACATTGAAAATATAGTTTTTATGGAATAATGGAGATAAAAATCTCCTTTGGAGTGGCTTAATGAAAGAATAAGAGAAAAAGAAGCAAAGGAAGCCAGTAGGGAAAATTAGTTTTAAATGTTTTCTAAAAAGACAAGGGGAGAAAAAAATATAGTATGATTGATACTGATGAGACTCAGTGGAGAAAGAGAAACTAATGATGTAAAAAACAAACAAAGAATTGCTAAAGCAACAGTTTTTTTATGAGAGGGAAAGGATGGAAAGTTTGGTTTTAGGAACACAGTCCATTTATTGTCATAAGCATGAAGACACTATATGAGTACAGATGTTAATATGGTATTGGAAATCTGTGGAGGTTCATTGCACAGCATCAGCTAAGAGTGAGAAGGGGTATTTGAGGATGGGAAAAATGTACTGGAGATTTAAGGAAACAGTAGAAAATGTAAGATAGAAGTCCAGGAGAATGGATGGTTGCTGTGCAGCGATTGGTGTACTTAAGCAGAAAGCAAAATTGGAAAGTTGCAATGAGTACTGAAGAGGGTCCCTATATTTTCTGGCCACTGCTCATCTCTACTACATCACCTCCAACAACCTGCCAACCTCCACTGGTTCTTCACTGCACTTCAGTCATGCTAGTCCATTTTCATTCCTCAAACATGCTAAATATGTTCCATTTTCAGGGCCTTTATACTTCCTGTTCCCTTTGCCTGGAATCATCTCTCAGAGCTCTGTCAGCTGGTCTCTTATCATCATTTAGGTCTTAACTCCACAAAGGTCTTAACTCCAGCTAAAATAACACCCCAATGTTACTCTACCATATTATTCAATTCTATCTTCTGAATAGCATCATCAAGACCCCCCTATTTATTTTTCTACTAATTTATTGTCTTTTGCTCTCCCCAATAGAATGAAAGCTCCTACTTTGCTGCATTCACGCCTACAAAATTGTCTGGCATAATAGAAGGTGCTCAATAAATATTTGTTGACTGATTTGTTGGGAACTGTCCTGCCTGGTTTCAGGAGCTGTACCCCCCCCCCATGGCTAAGGTTGAGTGAGTGACCTTTGGACCATAAGCCACTAAGGAGACAAAGCTTATCTCCCTGGAAGGGGTGCCACTTCTGCTCCTTTTACTTCACTCTGCCTGGCCCCCAATGCTTGATCAGTTAGCCAATGATGGGTAAGATTCCTCAAGGGAGGAATGACCTAAGACAGGCATGATCATGGGGAGCCCCCAGGGAAGGACTTGGAGGACTATAGCAAAAGAGGGTGATGGACCCTCACCCCTCAGCTTTGACATAGCCTGAGTCCTCATTCTGTCTGCGAGAAGTCTCCTAATCTCTTGGCTGCCTTACTTCCCCTGCCTGATTTAAGCTTGAAACAATGACAGAGGGTGGTGCAGCCCTGTGCTGGAAAGGGCGGGTTCCCAGGGTGATCAGGCCTAAGAAAGAATACATAAAATCCTGTGAAACCTGCTTTGCTAAGAATGCTCTCAATTAAATGATAAAGATCTGAGCAGGAAATGAGTTTGTTTCCCAAAGTTTTGTAGTCCTTTAGCTAACAGACCCTGACTCAGAATAAGACCTCGTAGTTCTTTGTATGTTATCTATTGTTTGATCCTTACTGCCTGACAATGATTAGTGAGCTTTACCTGTTATTCTTGTGCGAATTGAAATCCAATAAAAGCTTGTCAAGGGTCAGGGCTCTCTCCTCTTGAGAGAGTGGCCAGGCTGCTCCAAGGCACTCTCCCCTTGAGAGAGTAGCCGTGCCAACCCTTTTCCTCCACAGGACTTGGTAGTCTGTGTGAATTTGTCTTGTATCTCATCCATAATGCTGCGGACACTGTGGGCCAGTGTCCATGTCACTGATTGACTCTCCTTATGTTTATCTTCCAAATTTCTCTTTGCTTTCTCTCCCCTGCCCAACCTTCTTCTGCTCCCCTGACTTTGCCCTATGTACCCCTAGTACCATAGAAAACAATGTTTCCTACATCCTCAATGTTCTTACTACACATTTCTATTCTTTCCCCTGTCTCTTCAGGGATTTCTCATGTCACTATGTCTTCTACTGCAGCTCTTAAGGCTGATAGGTAAAGTTGACTTTCTTCCCACTCTCCACTGCTGCTTCTTCACTCTGACTCTTCTATACTTTTGTAAGACCTTCTCTTTCTCCTCCGTCCCACCAGAGTAAGAGTTTCATGCCATCTGGATTTACCATCCTCTAACTTTCATTGTTGGTGTCACCCTCTAACTTTCCCTTTACTCTGCAGCTTCTTCTAGATTTTGCCATCTAGTTCTCAGGGTTCTTCTGTAAAGCAATCTTTGGACTCTCACTGCTGAAGATTGGCTGTGCCTTTCCTATTGTTTCAGCACCTGGTAAAGTCAAAGGTCACAAGAGTAGGACAAAGGAATAATCAATGTACCCATACCTGTTTCTCAGTACACGCGGGGATTTACTCATTCCATAATCCCAGAGTCGCTCCACTGCAGCAATAAAATAGTGTCGTGTTCTCTTCTGAAAGCTGCGGGGGTTTTGATTTTCATCCTCACCATATATGTCAAAATCTTCTCTATTCATTTCAATTGAAAAAGCATCATAATAATCACTTTTGTCTTCTTCTGTCTGAAGAGAAAGAAGGGTTATTTCCCTTTTATGGCGTTTCAAGACTGGTGTGTTTTGAAAGAACAACTTTCCAGTCCCTTCTTGCTTTGCCCAAGTGGCTTCTTTTTGGGGCTTATCTTGTCCTTCATTTATTGCTGCTATTGAATGATTGTTTTTATAAGGGTCTAGGGGTGAAATGGTGTCTTTTGTCTTAAAAACTATGTTTGTGTGTGACTTCTCTTGGGATTTCCACTCTTCTCTTGGTGTCTGGGTAGCATATTGATTATCTGAAGCAAGAAGACCTATCAGCTTGGAGGGAGTCTTTCCAGAGCTTTTGGTTGCCCATTTCAGAAAGGGCACTTTTCCAGGTCTATTTACTTCATTAAATTTAATAGCATCCTGTGTTTTCTGTTGGAAGATCTCTTCTGTTAGATCCAGGCGTCCAGGAGATCTATTGTTAATTTTTGTAGGGAAAGGGGCTACCTGATGAACATGAACTTTAGGAAGTATTTCAACTTTTTTAGATGCTTCAGATAAACTTGGTTTCAAGAGACTAGTGTTCTCAATTTTCTTGTATATGAGTGACATTATGCCACTTTCCCCTGAGGAGCGAGTCTTTTCTTGATTTCCAATCATTTCTAACATTAGGAAAGCTAAAGAATGATTTCTTTTGGCTCCTTGTAAGAAACGACTGCTTTCTTGGACCCCAGAACTGCTCTTTCTAAAGGCATAACTACAAGCTGATGCTAGAAGATGAGAAGAATTGTCTTGGGATGGGATCTTGATCAGATCTGTAGGTCTAATTGATGGAAATTCTGATAACTTTGCCATGGGTAATGCAGATCCTTCTGTTTGAATGATGCCATGACTTCTCATAGAATGATCTGGTAAGAGGGACTGAGTAATGGCCCTTTTCTCCTTCTCATTGTACTCTATCTGTGTGATGGTGCTCTGGGTCAAATACTTCATGTTTTTGGACCACCGTGTTGAGGTGTCATTCAAAATCACTCCCCCTTCAAGTTTGATTTCTTCTTTCGGGAGTCTGAATTGTTTTAAAGCCCGCTTACCACGTTGAACAACAACGTTCTGCTGACTTGGATTAGGAGCGCTCCTTGCGGTGCTTGGATACTTCTCTACCACTTGCTTTGTTTGATTTTTCAAGCCTTCCAAATTTGCTTCCTCCCTTATTTTTGAGAAATGGGGCATGTGAATCCCTGCTCTATTTGCTGAATTGTTTAATGGCCTGGTGTCTTGAAGTGCTGGAGTATATGTCCCCTCATCTAAACCACTTACATTTTGTTTAGTGCTTAGTAAGAAAAGGTTCTTCAGGAAATTCTTAGTGTCATTCACTGTATATACATGAGACAAAGCTAAATTCTCTTGGATTAATTTTTCCTTCCTTTCTATCTCTTTCTGGGATTTTTTTTCTTGATTGTGTGTATCATTTTCTTGAATATTAGTCAAGTTATTAAGAAATATGCTCTTGCTGTTTGGAGAAATTATCTCTTTGAGGCCTGGATCCTTTGTAAATTCATTCTCTTCCACTACCACTTTATTCTTCTCTGACAAGAAATTCTGATGATCTTTCACAGATTTCTCTGATCCTGAAGATGTCAATTGCTTTAGTCCAGGCCTTGGTCCAGAGCTTAGGAAGTTCTTTCCATGAGTTCTTTTTACCCAATTTTCTGAATCTGGCAAGAACAGCATCTTGAAGTGTGCTGTATCTGGATTTTCTGCACCTACTGGAACAGGACCCTCTTTTTTTTGGTGGACCATGTCCATAATTTTTGATGAGCTACTTTTATTTGACAAATAATTTAGCCCCAAAGCTGTAGTATTTTTGTCAATAAACATTTCATCATGAATCAAAGAAGTTACTTCTTGAACCTCAGCATTACTTTTTAATATAATATCTTGCAAGACTGATGTACTATTCTCAATTAATAATGTTGGGCCATCAATGTAAGTCTTTCTATTCATGGTTGAGGTAACTGGTGCCTTGTTTGACTTCACTAAAGACACATTATATTTGAATAAAAAATTACCTTTGGTCAATGAAGTAGGTACATGAACTCTTTCCTCTTTAAATAACCTCTCACTCTCCATTGATAATCCATTTTCTCCCAATGAACTTCCTTGACTATTCATTAAAGCTGCTTCTAACAGCTTAGAATCATTATCTCCCTTACTCAAACCCAAAGGCACATCAAACACAATAAAGTGAGATGCATTTTTGTAAAATACAGTGGTGCCTGATTGATTACTAAAGTGAACTGGCATATTTGGGGGTCCTGAGGAACCTGTCTTTTCAGTACCTGCTGCCAACTCTTCTGGTGGAATTGCTGGTGAAGTCATTAGATTGCTTAATAAAGTAGCAATTTTTAAATCAAGTTTACTCAACTCTACTTTTCTAGTTGATCTTAAATTCTCATTTAGTCTTAATTGCAGGTCTGGCTTAGGAGTAAATACTCTGTTCCCACTGTTATGGATCTCTGGTCTGAGATTTGTCACTTCAGATGGGCCTTTATTTCTTTCTATTGCTCCAGGTAAATGATCATCAGCCTCATATGTGGCTTCTTGGAGATCAGGTAAGGATAATCCATGTGGAGTAGGATTCTGTCCCAAGAGCATCAACAAATCACTAGAGGATACACTTTGTACTTTATGCACCAGTGGTCTTTTTCCAGACCAGGGATCCATCTTCTCCATATCATTTTCTGGAGGTATAGTGGATTCAAATTGCTTTTGCCTAGTGCTGGGGTGCCTTGATTTCTGGGAGAAGCTTCTGGGTTCAATGACATTGTTTTCATTCAGTGGGGAAGTTAAAATGTCTTCATATGTTTCCTCAGAATAATCACCGGTGTTTCTTTCACAACTAGAAACCTTCAGTAAGGCTGTCATTCCTCTGTTCCGAAAGTCTGAGTTGTGGCACCCCAGAACCCACAGACCTGGAGATGAAGAAGAATAAGACTCTGGTTACTCATAACTCACATCCCAAGCTAGTTTTCTGTTAGAGGGTATTTCCTATTCCAAGATAAATGAAAAGAAAAAGCTAGCTGGTACCATTATATTACAGGTAATTGGGTGAAACCTATGACACATATAACAATAGTTAAGCAATGGTAGCAAAAGTGGTTTTTGCATTGCTGCTGTGGTGGTATATCTGTTTGTGACCATAAAAAAGGGCTGTGATTAAAAGTGAATAGATGTTGGAATAAAAATGGAGAAATATAATTAACATATACAATAGTAGAGAGTCTTAATCATCACATAGAACTCTGATGATGACTATGATAATGAGGAAAGTTTATATAGACTAGCTGTTATTGTTATATAACATAGTGGCACAGGTTCTAGAGTCATATTACCTGGGTTCAAATCCTGGTTCTACCATTTACCAGCTGTGTGACTTCAAGTAAGTCAATTGAGCTCTCTGAGCTGCAGTTTTCTAATTTATAAATGAGGCTAATAGTATCCAGCCCATCATATAATGCATTGTAATCACATATCACACTGCCTAGCATCCACCATCACTAATTTATAGAATAAGTAAGCACAATGGAGCAGGACTTAGGTTTAGAATACACATACAAATCCAACCACAATGTTAGAAATATTAATTTCTACTGTGGACAGGATTATCCAAGTGAAGGAATTTCATGGTAGTAAAATAGATTCATAAATATAGGCAAAAAATATATATCCATCAGGTATGTAAACAGCCTCATCATCTGACAAAATATCTGCAAACAAAATCAACTGAATACAGCTTTCCCTCAAAGGGAAAGCTTTCCCCCAAAGAGCCCTTTAAAAACTATGGAACTCCATGGAAAAGGCTTTTATGGTCAAACACATTTTGGAGTTAATGCACACTACACTCTATGTGCAGCCAGATAATCAATCACATGAGAAATGAGAATGAAGACATTTTCTAATACACAAACATTCAGAAAATCTACCTCTACTGCAACCATCCTTGAGAAGTGATTAGAGAATGTTTTCTAGGGCTGGCAAGGATGTGGGGAAAAGGATCCCTGGTGCCCTGTTGGTGGGAATGCAGACTAGTGCAGCCATGGTGGACAGAAGTATGGGATTTCCTCAAAAAACTAAAGATGGAACTGTCTTTTGATCCAGTGATCTCACTGCTGGGATTATACCCTAAGAATCCTGAAATACCAATTCAAAAGAACCTATGCACCCCAATATTCGTAGAAGTGTTATTTACAATATCCAAGTGCTGCAAACAGCCTATGTGCCCATCAGTAAATGAGTGGATCAAAAAACTATGGTATGTTTACACAATGGAATACTACACAGCAGAAAGAAAGAAGGAGCTCCTACCCTTTGAGACATCAAGGATGGATCTGAAGAGCATTATGCTAAGTGGATAAGTTAGGCAATGAAAGATAAATACCATATGATCTCACCTTTAAGTGGAACCTAATCAACAAGAAAAGAACATGAGCAAAATAGAACCAGAGACATGGAAATAAGGAACAAACTGACAGTGACAACAGGGGCGGAGGGAGAGGAATAATGGGGAAAAGAGGAGGGAGGCAAGGAACACGCATGAAGGAACATATATGGTAATAGACAATAGGATGGGGAATGACTAAGGGAGTAGGGGGTGGGGCAGTTAGGGTAGGGGGAGTGGGCAGGGTGGGGAGAGCAAAGGGGGTGGGAATTGGGACAACTATAACTGAACAACAATAAAAAAACATAGGAAGACATGAGATCTAGGAACCAGGCACCTATTCTACTGGAGGATGAACAAGTCCCAAGTTGATAACTTAGTCTCAGACCTAAAGACAACCAGCCCACACTGGAGTAGGAGGATGCATGGGTCTTGGAGGTCAGTATCTAAGCAAGAAAGAATATGTTATATAATGAAACTATTGAAAAAAAGAAGATAATTAAAGGAAAAATATTACAAGAACAGGAAAAGCAATTAGAAGTTTCAGTTAAACAAGTTATAAAAATAGGAAATGTAATCCTATTTGGTTCCACAGTGAACATTTATGTAGTTTACTGTGATTTCACTAAAAATGGGGATATAATTATTCATAAGTTTGGGAACTGAAAACAGTTTAATGGTATTTAAAGCATATTTTTGATGGTATAAAACCAGGTTGGGTCAGAGTAGGCCAGGATTGGAGCTGAGATGAGTAATTTAAATAAGGTTTTTGACCCTTAAAATTTCACTGTTATAAATTTAGGCAAAACTAATACCTTCCTTTTCCTGAGGCAGACATTAATTAAGTGAGAAAAGGGGAAATGAAATTTCATAAACAGGAGTTCTGGCCAAGATGGAGACATAGGTAGAAATGCTTCACTTCCTCGCACAACCAAGAGAAGGTAAAAACCAATGGAAAAAAACAATAAACAAGCAGAAGTGCTACAAAATCAAACTGCATGGAACTCCAACAACCAAAGTGATGATGTTCATATATTATTAAGTGAAAAAAGCATGTTACAAAACATAATCTAACTACCATTCTATCTGTTTATATGAATTCATATTTTTTATGCATCACATTTTCCTTATCTATTCATTCATAAATGGACACAGGTTATTTCCATATCTTGGTAATTGTGAATAATGCTATAGTAAACATAGGAGCACAGATATCTCTTTGAAATTCTGATTTCATTTCCTTTGAAGTGGAATTGCTGGATCATATGGCAGTTGTAATTTAAATTTTTTGAGGGAACTTTGTACTGTTTTCCATAGTGGTTGAACTAGTTTACATTACTACCATCTGTGCATGGGGATTCCCTTTTATTCACATCCTCACTGGTGCTTGGTGTTATTTTTTGTATTAAAATATATTTTATTGATTATGCTATTACTGTTGTCCCATTCCCCCCCTTTATTCCCCTCCACCCTGTACACCCTCTCCCACTGGAATTCTGCCACTTAATTCATGTCCATGCATCATACATATAAGTTCTTTGGCTTCTCTATTTCCTATACTATTCTTAACCTCCCCCGTCTATTTTGTACCTACCATTTATGCTTCTTATTCCCTGTACCTTTTCCCCCATTCTTCCCACTCCTCCTCCCCACTGATAATCCTCCATGTGATCTCCATTTTTGTGATTCTGTTCCTGTTCTAGTTGTTTGCTTAGTTTGTTTTTTTGTTTACTTTGTTTTTTCAAGTTCAGTTGTTGATAGTTGTGAGTTTATTGTCATTTTACTGTTCATATTTTTTATCTTCTTTTTTTAGATAAGTCCCTTTAACATTTCATATAATAGGGGCTTGGTGATAATGAACTCCTTTAACTTGACCTTATCTGAGAAGCACTTTATCTGCCCTTCCATTCTCAATGATAGCTTTGCTGGATAGTCACCTTGGATGTAGGTCCTTGCCTTTCATGACTTCAAATACTTCTTTCCAGCCCCTTCTTGCCTGCAAGGTTTCTTTTGATAAATCAGCTGATAGTCTTATGGGAACTCCATGTAGGTAACTCTGTCCTTTCCTCTTGCTCCTTAAAGATTCTCTCCTGTTTAATCTTGGGTAATGAAATTATGATGTGCCTTGGTGTGTGCTTCCTTTAGTCTAACTTCTTTGGGACTCTCTGAGCTTCCTGGACTTCCTGGAAGTCTGTTTCCTTTGCCAGATTAGAGAAGTTCTCCTTCATTATTTATTCATGAAATTGAAATAAGTTTTCAATTTCTTGCTCTTCCTCTTCTCCTTCTGGCACTCTTATGATTCAGATGTTGGGATGTTTAAACTTGTCCTGGAGGTTTCTAAGCCTCTCCTCATTTTTTGGAATTCTTGTTTCTTTATTCTGTTCTGGTTGCATGTTTATTTCTTCTTTCTGCTCCAAATCATTGATTTGAGTCCCTGTTTCCTTCCCTTCACTGTTGGTTCCCTATATATTTTACTTATTTCACTTTTTATAGCCTTCACTATTTCCTGTATTTTGTGACCATACTCAACCATATCTGTGAACACCCTGATTACCAGTATTTTGACTTTTGCATCTGATAGGTTGGCACATCTCTTCATCACTTAGTTCTGTTTCTGGTGTTTTGATCTGTTCTTTCATTTGGGCCATATTTTCATGCCCCTTACATTTTAAGGGGTGGAGCCTTAGGTATTCACCAAGGCAGGGAAACCCAGGTCACTTCGTTGTGGTACTGCATGTAGGGAAGGGGTTGGAGAGTGAACAATGCTGCTTGCTGGGCTCTCAGCTGGCTTTCAGTCACTTCCCCCACTACCCCCAAGCCAACTGGGCCCTTCTGGTGCTAATTCTTGGGTGGGTGGGCTTGTGTACATTCTAGGACCCTGTGGGTCTCTCCAATGAACTCTCCTATAAGGCTGGGAGTTTCTCCTGCTACCTCGAACCCCACAAGTTTTTTATATCCATAGGTTTAGAGGCTTTATTTTCCCATGCTGGGTCCCTGGGTTGCACAGTCTATCTTGTTCCCCAGTTGTTCCTCCTGGCTTATCTGCACATGAATGTTGGACCTCCTGGTCTACCAGCTGTCACCTTGCTGTGGGCCCTCTTGGCCCCGGCTGCCCATCTCTGCCTCTCCTGCCATTCTAGATGAATGTTTCTTCTTTAACTCCCTGGTTGTCGAATTTCCATAGCATTTAATTTCTGGCAGTTCTAGTTATTTTTTGTTTTTAAATTTGTTGTTGTCCTTCTTTTGGTTGTACAAGGAGGCAAAGTGTATCTACCTATGCTTCCATATTGGCTGGAAGTCCTATTTTTTGTATTTTTGATGGTAGCCATTCTAATAGGTATGAGGTGATTACTCACTGTGGTTTGATTTGCACTTCCCTGATGACTAGTAATGTTGAGAACCTTTTTATGTACCTGTTTGCCATTTGTATGTCTTTTTTTGGTAAATTTATTGGTTTCCCATAAGTTCTATAGGCTTTCTTCATTTCTTTTCTCCTCAAACTGAGTAATTTCAAAAGATTTGTCTTTGAGTTCC